GATTCTGAGCAGGAGGGGGACGTGATCTGACTTAGGTGGTCACAGGGTCCCTCGGGCTGCATGTGAGAAGCAGACTGGAGGGAGAGGGAGGAACGGGGAGACCAGCAAGGAGGCCCTTACATTAGTCTAGCCAGGGGGAGGACAGGACCAGGGTGGGGCTGTGGCTGGGATGCAGAGTGGGCAGAACAGAAGGTGTTCTGCTAGGGCTGCCCTTCTTTGAGAAGGTGGACGTGTGGTCCCTGGTCTGTGTCATGGCTGAGCTGCACCTGGGCTGGCCCCTCTACCCAGCCAGCAAGATTTGCTGATGGACAAGGCATGGGGTGAGAGAGAAAGAGACAGGTCTTAAGCCTCATGGACATAAGTTCTAGTGGAGAGAAACAGACCGAGAGACGAATACGCAAACCAGAGACAAAGGCTGGAGGAGACAGATAGGGGACGTAAACAAGAGATCAAGATTCACAGATGTAGTGACAGTCAGATGGCAGATGCAGAAAGACACTGGCAAGAGATGCCGGGGAGGCTCAGGTCGATCGGCTGTCCCGGCCCACTTGCCTCCCTCCCTCCGCTCAGGTGATCGACTTCGGCTCGGCCAGCATATTCAGCGAGGTGCGCTACGTCAAGGGGCCGTATATCCAGTCTCGCTTCTACCGGGCCCCCGAGATTCTGCTGGGGCTGCCCTTCTGTGAGAAGGTGGACGTGTGGTCCCTGGGCTGCGTCATGGCTGAGCTGCACCTGGGCTGGCCCCTCTACCCAGGCAACAACGAGTACGACCAGGTGCGCTACATATGTGAGACCCAGGGCCTGCCCAAGCCCCACGTGCTGCACACCGCCTGTAAGGCCCGCCAATTCTTCAAGCGCAACCCTCACCCCGACGCCACCAACCCCTGGCAGCTGAAGTCCTCGGCCGACTACCTGGCTGAGACCAAGGTAGGGGGGCAGGTGGGGTGAGGGCCGTCAGCGTGGCAGCTGCCGCATCAAGAAGAAATTCTAGGTTAGATCTCAGAGAGGCCTGGAAACTTGAGGGCCAGCTGCGGGGGTTGTCACAGCCAGAGGGATCCGAGGGAGACCCCAGGTGGGACTGGAAGTCAGGGCAGCCTGTCTGCCACCTCTGTGGCTGCGGTCATCGGACTTGTGTGGCAAGAGTCTGGCTGAGACAGCAGAAAGGACTGGAAGTGTGGACCAGCCGTGGGAGCTGTCAGAGCGAGAGAGGGGTCTGAGCGAGACAACAGGTGGGACTAGAAGTATACGGCAGATCCTCTGACAACTCCTGAGCTGGTCGTGGTTAAAGAATTTGGCAAGAATTGTCCGGGCTTGACTCCTCGGAGGCCCGAGGGCTGGGATCAGATGTGGGGATCAGCTGTGGCAGCAAGGGGGATCTGGATTTGATTCCAAGGAGCAGTAGAGGTTTAGGGCAGCCCTTCTGCTAGCTGCTGGTAGGGGCTGGACCCATGGCTCGAGGGAGGACTGGAGGGCTGGGGCAAGGTGTGAAACTTGGGTCAGTGAGATCTCTGGGTTAGACAAGAGGAGGACCAGAGATCACAGTCAGCTGTCCTTCCTGCAGCAGTAGGAGGGGTCTGGATTAGACTAGAGGGGTTCGGGTGTTAGTGAGCAGGTGCAGCCCCCCCCAGATGCAAGAGAGCTCCAAGTCAGATCACGGGCAGAACTGGAAGTCCAGGTTCCTGTGGGTGGACTTCATAGCCACGAGAGAGCTCTGGTACAGACTGGGGGGCCCACTGGAAGCTGGGGGGTCGTATGTGGGCTCCACAGCAGAAGTACCTGGGGCCCAAGTCCTGGACTCAGTGTCAACCCCTGCCCCACCCTGTGTCCCACCAGGTGCGCCCACTGGAGCGCCGCAAGTACATGCTCAAGTCACTGGACCAGATAGAGATGGTGAACGGCGGCTGGGCAGCCCGTCGGCTGACCTTCCCCGACCGCGAGGCCCTGGCAGAGCACGCCGACCTCAAGAGCATGGTGGAGCTGATCAAGCGCATGCTGACGTGGGAGTCGTACGAACGCATCAGCCCCAGCGCCGCCCTGCGCCACCCCTTCGTGTCCATGCAGCAGCTGCGCAGCGCCCATGAGACCACCCGCTACTACCAGCTCTCACTGCACAGCTGCCGCCTCTCCCTGCAGGTGGAGGGCAAGACACCTGTGTCTGTTGTGGATGCCGCGGAAGATGGGCCCCCCTACTACGGTCTGGCCGAGGAGGAGGAGACTGTGGGTCTGGGCAGCGGGCCTTTATTCCGGGAGGACAAGGCACCGGGCATGCAAAAGGCAATCGATCAGCTGGACGACTTGAGTCTGCAGGAGGCGGGGAGTGGGCTGTGGGGCGAGACCCGCACCGACGTCATTCCCGACGTGCTGGCCCCGCTCAAGGCCGCTGCTGCTGGCCGCTGGGTGCCCGACTCTGGCCCCGAGCCCATCCTGGCCTTCTACGGCAGCCGCCTGGCAGGTTGCCACAAGGCCCGCAAGCCACCCGCAGGCTCCAAGTCCAACTTCAGCAACCTCATCCGGCTGAGCCAGGCCTCGCCCGAGGAAGACGCCCCGTGCAGGGGCGGCGGCTGGGCGGAAGGAGAGCGGCGAGGGGCCTCTGCGGAGCCGCCTGCCATCCCGCAGCGGGACACGGATGGGCCGGAATTCAAGGACATGACCGTGGATGCTGAGGTGACCCAGGGGGCAGCTAGGATGCGGGTGGTTCTGGGATCAGGGCCTCCCCAGAGCTCTAGGATCGGGGCATAGTGAACCAACCTTGCCTCCCGTACGTTTGCATGGCCCGCAGCTGGCTCAGGATCCAACACACACTACTAGCCCACCCTCAGGATGTGACAAGGCTCAGCAAACACTAATACACCCGTAGGATGCGATGAAGCTCAGCAAACACTAACCCATATTAAGGCTGTGTAAAAACTCAGAACACAGTAATCCACATACGGGAAGTGATAGAGGCCCAGTACTCTGAACAAGGCCATGGGACAGCTCAGCCCCGCCCCCCCCCCCCCCCCCCTCCCTGCCAGCCACGCCTTCCCTAGCTGGAGGGCACCCTCGCTTCATTGCCTTGGGCCACATCTAAGCTGGCTTCTGGCCCTGCTGCACCCAAACTCATCCTGAGCTAGGAAAGGTACAGGAATGGCCTTGAGTGGCTCAAGAACCAGCCCCAGGGCATCATCAACACACACCGAAGGCTCCCTTGAGCCAGGGAGCTAAACCCTGGACACACAACCCAAATCACCTGGGGATTTAAAAAATCAAATATCCAGGCCCCACCCCCAGACCAATAGGGTCAGAGCTCTAGGGTTGGGACCCAGACAGCTATATTTTCAGCAAGCTACCCAGGAGGTTCCAGTGAACAGCCAGAGTCAGAGCCAGAGCCCCCGGTGTGGAGGCAGAGGCCATCCAAGGTGTCAATCATGAGGAAGAGGCATGTCATGAGATGGGAAACTGGGACTGAGGGGTGGGTAGTTAGGTGATTCGGTGAGTTAATGCGCATAAGAGTTTGGGTGCCAAATATGTTGTGGCTCCCCCCCCCCCCCCCCCCCCCCTCCCGCCCCGGGAAGATGTGACAGAGCCTCAGCAAACACACCTTCAGGACACATTAAGGTCTCAACACACAGCATTTAAGCCTCCAAAGTGGGATGAGGGTTCAGGATGTACAAAATCGTCCTCAGGAATTGACAAGGATGCAGCTGGGATCAGGAGTCCATGAGGGGCAGCGTGGTTGTTCCGGGGTGGGGTGGGGGGCGCTTCCTGGCTGATGCCCATCTCTTCTCCCCAACAGAGGCCAGGCCCTGAGTTCTTCGACCTCAGCAGCTGTCCTGGGGAATGGCTGGGTCAGCCAGACTGGACCCTGGAGGGCGTCGGGGGGCCACGGGCTCAGGGGCTCCCACCACGCCACACCCACCCGCATGGTCCACCCCGGGCCACCAGCTTTGTGCAACACGTCGGCGGGCACCACTGATGGTGACTCCACCCCTGCCCATCACTGGGTGATGCGCTAGCGGGGCTGGCATCCCCTCCTCAGAGCTATCCCCTGAACCGACAAATTATTCTTACAGAAAGATAATTATCCAGAAATACCCCATTCCCCCCGCCCCGCTCATGGTGCATGCCTGCACACACACCCCGAACACAGGAGGGTTTTGGGGTCTGGCCCGTGGCCCCCTCGGCCAGAGGGACGCAGGAAGGGGGCTGCACCCCACTGGCCCTGCTGCCTCTGTTTATTTCAGTAAAGCACTGTTCAGCAGTACTGCCTCATGCCTGTCCTCCCTGCCTGAGGCCTGGACTGGCACGGGGGTGGGGTTCAGGGGGGCACCCAGGCCCTGCTCTCTAATGCTGCACCCAGTCAGCCATTGGCTCAGGCTGGAGGCTGTGCTTGGCACACTGACCCATCCCTTAAATACGCTCAGTGCCTGGCACGTAAGAATCCACCCTCGGAACATTCTCAGTGCTCAGCAGGTGCCAATCTGAGCTTGCCAGATGCCAGGTTCTCAGCGTCTGTTGACCTGTCTTTGCCACACGTGACAGGCTTGGCATGCACTCATCCATGCTTGGGACATGCGAAGTGTAAGTTCACTCAGCAGGTGTATGTAAATTCACGCTTGGTACATGCTCTCGTGTCCAGACGTGCGAGTCCACCGTCGGGCTATGGCAGTGGCTCAGCGCGCGCTCATCTGGCTGGGGACATGCTGAGTGTGCAGCACACGCTGTGCCATGCTGGCTACATGAGGCTCGGTTCATGCCAGCCCACAAGGTCACACGCGCATGCTCAGCACACGCTAGCTCATGTGCATCGTGCGCCGACGGCTCAGCGCATGCCAGCCCACGCTGGTCACCCACTGAGGGCTCAGCACACACCAGCCATGTGCTGAGCGTCCAGTACACACCAAACCACACTGGTCACATGCTGAGGGCTCAGCATGCGTGAAGGTGTCCCCACCAGAGGCCCATGCCAGCTGTCCCCTACCCGGCACCCCACCTCACACCACTCAGTCCGGCACAGGCTGTACACACAAGTTATTTACTTCTTGTGACCTCAGGCCCTCTTTGCCCTGGGAAGTGGGGTGGACCAGGGGCCCAGCATGCACCCCAACTTCTTCGGGGGCCGATCCCTCCCCCAGCTTGGCTGGGTCCTCTGCGGCCACAGCATCAGGCTGGCGGGGGCGGAGGCAGAAGCGGGAGAGCAGCGGGCGAGCCTGCGGGAGCCACCGTGGGGCAGACAGAAGCGGGGGCACGGGGACTGGGATTGAGACCCGGAACACCCGCGCCCGCGGGGGCCTCGCAGGCCTGGCCTGTCCGCTGGGCCGGGCCTCAGAGCAGGCGACAGGCGTTGCCCACGCTGTCAGCTGAGGTGTCCAGGTCGTGGCTGTAAGCGGAGTCCCAGTCCCTCAGGAACACGGCCTCCAGCTGGCTCCGCAGGCCGCCCCGCCCGCCCTGCGCCAGCAGCAGCGAGGTGCCCGCTGTCTCGGTGAAGTAACTTCCGCACCAGTTGGAGGTTCCTACAGGGGGCGGCGTCCAGAGAGTCAGGGCCCGTGGAGCTGCCTGGAGCCCCTTCCGCCCCCACCCAGCGGCGCCCAGGACGCTCACCGATGTAGGTGGCACGCTCAGTCACCATGTACTTGTTGTGGTTGACGCGGGTGTAAGGGACTCGGGCCTGGGCCTCGTCCGCAGGGACCACAAAGAGTTTCTGAGAGGGAGGGGAGATGCGGGGTTGGGTTAGAGAAGCCCCAGGGTCTGGGGTGGGGAGTGGAACCAGGTCTGCGGGACTGGGGACTCGGCTGCGTCCCTCGCAGGCCTGGGGGCCAGAATGGGTACTCGGTAAACGCCGGCTGAAAGGGAGGACCCTGTCGCCTCATATGCCACCTGTTCCCTCTAGAATGACTCCTATTTATCCCTTAGGTCTTACCTCAGATGTGTCCCCTTTTCCAGAAAGTCTTCCACGACTCCTCAGGCTGCGGCAGGAACTTCTGCTGGGCTTCCCCATCCCAGCCCTAACCCCTCTGCCCGTGCCCTTGATTCTGGCCAATCAGGGCACAGCCCACTGTGGGTCGTCCCTGTCAGATGCCAGGTGAGCTCCACGATTGCTGTGTCCTCAGTACCGCCCCGCATAGGGGCTGATGGGTAGGTCTGGGGTAGGTGCTTACCACCTGGATGTCAAAGTGGGTGTGGTTGTCACGCAGGGCAGCCAGGGAGAGCAGGAAGGCCCGCATGGATGGCTCAGAGTGCCCCCAGCAGCTGACCAGCAGGCGCACCTTGACGCCCCGCTCATAGGCAGCCCGCCGCAGCCCGTCGTCAATGGCAGGCCAGAACCTTGAGGAGGGGGGTGCAGGATGAGGAGGGAGGCCTCACTTCAGCTTTAGGGAGCCAGGCCTGGGGCCCGCTGCAGCTTCTGAGAAGCCCCAAGCCCCCACCCCATCTCTAGCTCCAAGCCCTGCTCCCCCCACCAATCTTCTCATTGTCTTGTCTGCTGCCCCCAGACTATCTGCTCTGAGCCCCCAGAGTCCAGTCATCCCCCCTTCCTATCCCAGATCTCAAACCCCAACCCTGCCGCCCCAAACCTGAATACCCTTAGTCCTACCTCCCAAGCCTGTCACCCCATATCCAGCCCACACTCCCTGCCTCCTACCTGCAGAAATCCCACATCCTGCATCCTCTGCCTTAAGCCTCCAGTCCCCCGTCTCCACACCACCCCCCGAATATTCTCACCCTCTTCTCTGTCCCCTTCTCCTTGTCTCGACCATCCAGACCCACTCTCCCTGTCACCTCTGTCTCTCCCCATGGCATCCCCTCCCTCTGTCCCTTGGTCTTGGCCCCGTGCCTGCTTTCTGGGCCCCATCGCTCTCTCTCCTGTCTCCTCTTCCACTCACGGTGGCTCCCTACCCCAACCCCTGTCCACGCGCCCAGCGGTACCTGTGCGGGTGGGAGAACTCCATGGTGGGCAGGTAGTTCATGACCGCGATGTAGATGAAACTCCGGGCATTGTCCACCGTGTTGAGCAGGGCTTTCAAGTCTGGGGTGCGGCCACTTGGACACAGTGGTGGGGGTGCACTCTGGGGGACGAGGGGACAGTCAAGACACATGTCCTTCACAGTGGACCCCTGCTACAGCTTGTCATGAGCCAGGTTCTGCTCAGCCTCCATGAAGGAGAGGGATAATTACCACATCTTTTTTTGCAGGTGAGCAAACGGAGGCTCAGAGAGGGTAAGTGATTTGCCTAAGGTCACACAGCTGATAAATGGAGCCAGGGCTTGAACCTAGGCTGTCTGGTTCCAGAACTTATGCTCTAACCCAGTGGTTCTCAACATGAGGTCCCTGGTCAGGCAGCAACAGCATCACCTGGAAACTTGTTAGAAATGCAAGTTCTTGGGCCTCACTGCCCATGGCACACAGAACCAAGGTGCTGGGGTGGAGCCCAGGAATCTGGGTTTCCACAAGCCCTTCTGGTGATTCTAATGCATGCTCAAGTTTGAGGACCTCTGCTCTAATCACTTTTGTCCCTGACTTACAGTCCAGCCTGATGGCACTCCTCATGTGCCCAGCCACACCAGGCCCTTCACCCAGCTCTCTCCATCCTCACAACAGGTGAGCAAACTCGAGCTCTGAAAGGGGTAGTGGTAACGGGGGAACCATTAATGTCTCGTGGAAGGTCACTGGAGCAAAGGACCCCAATGAATCGTGTCCCTCCATCCATGCCTCAGTGTGGGCCCTCCAGGATGACACTGGGCTTGGCCAGGTGACTTGCTCGGGGGGACCCAGGTTGGCCACTCCAACTAGTGAAAATATCAACAGCTAAAAACAGCGGTGCCTTGTCCAGAGTGCCAAGGGCAATAGTGGGTGCTGTCCCATAGAACTTTCCACATTGATGGAAATGTTCTCTATCTGCACTGTCCAGTATGGCAACTGCTTGCTATGTGTGGCTGCTGAGCACTTGAAATGTGGCTAGTGTGACTGAGGAACTGAGTTTTTAACTGTAGTTCATTTTAATTGATTAAAAATGCGACATGCAGCTATACTGGACAGGTCACCCAGGGCTCGGCCTGCATGGACCCAGCCGTGCCTCTCACTAGCCCTAAGAGGTGGTAAATATTGCAATACTTATTTTCTATGTGAAACCAAGGCCTAGGGAGGTTGGGACACAGCCCAGGCCCCGAGTGAGCAGAAGTGACAGCCAGTGGTCAGGAACCCCCATCCCTACCAAGTCACTAGGCAGGGCTTGACGGGGGCCGAGAGAAGGGATGTGGCCGGGGTGTGACAGGCCCCTCTTCCCTCGGACTCACTGCCAGGTAGGCCAGAGCAGGGGTTCCGTTGAGGCAGATTTCCATTGGTGTCTCTTGATTGTAGCGGGTGTCATAAGGCCGGGGCCAGGTTGACGGGATGGAGCTGCCCGCCTGGCCCAGGTACCAGTAGGCCTCGAAGATCTTGGTCAGGTCTCGAGCTAGGCAACTGCAGTTGTACATGACCACGCCCAGCTCCTTGACCTGTGGGAGGGCAATGCTGAGCCCGGGGATGATGGCCTGGTGCCCACAGATGACATGGACACCTGCAGCCCTTCCCCGTGCCCCCCCACAAGTCCCCCTTCCTGCCCCTTGCCCTTCTATCTCCCCCTCTCTCTGCCCCTGTCTCCTTTCTTTCTGCCCCTTAACCGTGCCCCCACCCCCCTTCCCCCAGCTGAAGTCCTGGGATGGGCATGATCTTGACTCAAGATTAAAATCTTAAGTTTTGGTGAAAATCAGTTATTCCAAAGCTCCAGGTTTCCTGAACCTTTGCGTACACTGTTGCTTCCACCCTCCACTGAGCTCCTACTCAGTCTTGGGTCTCAGCTGACAGTTTCCTCCTCCAGGAATCCTGCCTTGACTGCCCAGCCTGTGTCAGGCCTTCCTTGAGGCTCTCAGGGTCCCTTGGGCCTCCTTCATCACCTTCTCTGGTGGCAAACCTGCCTCCCCATTGGACTGGGAGGACAGGCACAGGGGATGTCTCAGGGACAGCTGTGTGTTCAGCATCTCCCTGCAGAGCTGGTGAGATTAGGGGTTTGGAAAATATTTGTTGAGCAAATGATCACTGCCTAAGCTGTTCCTTTTTCCTGTCCTGTGCCAACTCCTACAGCTCCTCCAGTTATCAGATTAGTTTTCATCTCTTTTGGGAGACTTTCCTTGGTACCCCAAGGCTATCAGGGTCGCCCGTCCTGGCCCTGACCCCTCCACTTGTGCTCTCGCCTCGCCTCGCCACCAACTCAGACTTGACCCTTTTGGGCTGACACTGGTGACAGGCCCGTCTCCGCCCTGGGCCGGGGGTTCCAAGAGGTCCACCACGTTCCCAGCATCAGAACAGGGCTGGGCTTAGAGCAGGCATGTAGAGAGTGAATCATGAATGTCAAATGGGTGGACAGGGCCTGGAATGTCCTGTAGATGCCATCGGGGATCAGAGGGGCTTCCCTGAGCAGAGCGAGGGTGGTGGAGGGCTGGATTTGGGGATGTTAGGTAGGAGGTGGGAAGGAAGCCATTGCAGAGACTGGAAGAGAGGACTCTGGGGTTGAGGCGGGGTGCAGCTGGAGGCCGGGCGCCCTGTGGGGCAGGGAGCGGCCTAGAAGGGCGGTGGGCAGGGTACAGGCAGACCTGGGTCAGGGAACGCCAGTCCATGTTGGCACTGCCGAGGTAGAAGTGGGTCTGGTCTACCACCCAGAACTTGGTGTGCAGGATGCCATGGGTCAGCTTCTGCATGTCCACCATGCGGACCTGGGCACCTGGACGGACAGGGGTGGTGGTCAGGGTGCTGGCTTGGGCAGCCCCAGGCCCAGCCCACCCCCAGCTGCCCCCTAGCTCACCGCTTTGCAGCAGGGCCTGCAGATCTGCCTGGGGCTGGGGCCCACTTGGCTTGCTCACGGCAATGCGGACCTTCACACCTCGGGGTGCCAGGGTCTGTAGCTGCCGGAGGACCTCCTCGCCCTGGGGGGAGGGGAGAGCCTCTGAGGGGCTGGATGAGCCAACTCTCCAACCCCACGCAGGACCCCCCATGGAGCTGTTTTGAGATTAAGCTTCTAGATCTGATCAGGCTTTACATTAGCCGGGACACTCAGGGTAGGCTTTACACAGGTTAAGATGTTAAAACCTGTAACTGTTTTATTTTATTGATTTTTTGGCCACACTGTGCGGCATGCGGGATCCTAGTTCCCCGACCAGGGATTGAACCCGTGCCCCCCACAGTGGAAGTGCAGAGTCTTAACCATTGGACCACCTGGGAAGTCCCTTTATCTGTTTTAATAATTGGCGCTCTGAGCCCTGCTAGGGCCTCCCTGCCACTCCTGCCCTTCACGGGACCTTCCCAAGATCCTGACTTGGAGGTATCAATGCCCGTCACAGAAGGGACCTCTGGGCACCTTGCAGGATGTTGGGGGCACAGTGCAGGCTTGGGGTCTGCGAAGGTTTGGGTGAGGCCTGATGATGCCAATAACATTAATAGCAACAGCCATTGATTCCCTGGTTTCTACTGTGAGCCAGGGCCCTTGTAAGCCCCTTTACATGTGAATTCACTGACTTCTCACCACTCTCACTGATGAGGCAAATCTGAGTATATGCCGAGGTGCAGATGGGGAAACTGAGCATTGGAGAAATCAATGGGGAAGCAGGATTTGAACTCAGATGGTCTGCCTCCTATGTCTGTGCTCTGTGCTTTGAACCATTCCAGTAGGAACCAGCAGGGCGTGGGGGCTCATGACTTTTTTTTTTTTTTGGCTTGTGGGATCTTAGTTCTCCAACCAGGGATTGAACCCGCGCCCTTGGCAGTGAAACTGCAGAGTCCTAACCACTGGACCGCCAGGGAATTTCCAGCTCATATCATTTTTAACTGTCGCATATTTTTTCAGGCAGTGCTTAATAAACCTCACGATTTTAATACATTTTAAGCCTACCTCTGACAAAGAGTGGCAGCAAGGAAAGGGGAAAAAAAGGGACAAATTCACCATGTCTTTCAATGAAGGGCTTATCCACCTAGGCTGTTCCTTTTCAAATCTTGAAGTTTTATGTTTTTTAAGTTTGTCTGCAGACCCTAACAAGGCTATCAGAGCAAATGCTTATAAAGGGCTGACTCTGTCGGGCATTGTGCTATAACTGGCAGGGATTAGCCCGTTTCATCCTCACAACAGGGGAGTGCTAGATATTGCCCCATTCTACAGATGAGGAAACTGAAGACCGAGAGGTGAAGTGACCTGCCCTAGGTCACACAGCTGGGAAGTGGCAGCCTGGCTTGAGGCTGGGCTGGTACTCACTCCATGTTTCCATTTCTTTGTGTGACAGGGTCGGGGCAGCTTGTGGGTGAGTGATATCTGCCAGCCTAATCCCTCGTAACCAAACCCATACCCTGACATTCAGAGGCCTCCAGATGACTGTGACAAAACGCCCCCAGTCCAGAGGGCCATGTGAAGACAGTTGCTTCCAAACACCTGTGTCCAACCCGCTGTGTGAGACATGTCCACCTGTCTCCCGGGCTATAGGGAAACCCCTTTCATCCACCTCCCCAATGCCTCCCCCCAAACCCCCCCCTGCCCCCCCCGCCCCCCGCTGCCAGCCAGGGCCCCCACTCCCCCCCCCCAACCCCCCCCCTGCCCCCCCCGCCCCCCGCTGCCAGCCAGGGCCCAGGTTGCCAGGTACCTGCTGAGCAGAGGGCTCCTGAGTGTGGGTGTCGTTGTTGGTGAGGGTCCAGTAGAAAGAGGCAATGTCCAGGCTGCTGTGGGCACCGGCGAGCAGGCCCAGCCAGGCCTGGCTGGTGGAGGGGTTGACCGTGGAGGCATTGGGGAAGTCCAGGCCCTCGGGAATGCTCTCCACCAGCACTGCTCTGGGGGGTGGGGGGAGGCAGAATCAGCCATAGGGGGCTGGAATGTGAGTGCTCACTTGTCTGCCCACGGAGGATGGAAGACTATGTGTATTTGTGTCGGTACTCATGATTCTCTGTGTGTCTGCATTTGTCTGTCTAGAGGTGTGGAAGGAAGGTTGTGCATGTGGATATCTGTGTGTGTGTGTGTGTGTGTGTGTGTGTGTGTGTGTGTGTCTGTCCACAGATGTGGATGGAAGATGCCATGTGTGTCTGTTCACAGACAGATAGAAGATGATGCTGTGGCTGCCATGGCAACAGTGTGGGGGAAGGAGGTGGGCATGGAGGGAAGAACCGTGACGGTCCACTTGGGAGTCGGCGATCACCTTATTCTGTCTCGACCACTGGGTGCAGGCCCTGCTTAGTGCGTGTTGAAGTGTCCCTGGCCTGGCAGGGCCCCTCCCCCCACCATCTGAAGCGCCCACGCCCCCCTCCACTTACTCGCAAGGGTCATAGCAGGGGGCTGGGCGCTGGTTGGGCCCAAAGAGATGCAAGTCGCCGTATTCCCATAGAAACAGCTGAGTCATCAGGGCACCGAAGCCCACGACCGCCAGGATGAGGACCAGCAGGACCCAACGGGCCTTCTGTGGGGAGGAGGAGGTGATCAGCCAGCCCAAGGAGGGCAGCCCAGGCCATGGCTGAGACAGAGTGAGGGTGGCGGTGGGCTCCTACCTTTTCTGCAGCTTTCCATGCCTCGATCTCGTTCATGGGTAGTTCGTTGGAGGGCTCCTCAGCAGGCACCTTCAGCTGGGGGACAGGGATGCTGGTGTGTGTGGGGGTGACAAGGCAGCTCAGTGGGGCCCCCACCCTCTGCTGGGTCCAGCCCCTCCCCACTGGGTCCCCCATCCACCTACCTCCTGATACATAAGTTTAGGCTTCATCTTGCTGGGCAGCCAGGGGTTATACAGATTCCAGTGGGAAAGTGGGTGTGTCAGGGTCTCCAAACTGCAGGGAACAAAAGCTGGCACTGTGTGGGGTGTTCTAGGCTTTTGGGGGACATCACAGAAAGCGGATCAGCCTCGGGCTCACGGGACTCCCTGGGTCGCCTTGTCTGTGATCACGGGGGCCACTGGCACTGCGCCTGCCACCCCTAAAGGAGGAAGCTGACTGCTGGTCAGTTGGGATTTCGAAATCCCTCAAAGTCCAACTCCTCTGCTTTCCTCCTATTCCTCTGCGGTGCCCTCCCTGCCCCCCTTTAGTGCCCCCTGCCCCCCCCCAAGCGCCCACCCTGCCCCTCATCAGCACCCACACTGCTCCCCATTAGCGCTTTCCCTTCCCTGAGCTCTAACCTATACATTCCCAAAATGACAGCTCCGGATTGGGTCAGCGGAGCCCTAAACCTTTGTGCCTGGCTTCTCCCAGCCCTGGGATTACCCAGAAGTCATTTTCCAGGTGGCTCCTTTGCCCTCACCCTCAGGTAACGACTAGAGCAGCTCAGGGCGGGAGCCCAGGACCATCGCGGCCTCCCCGCCAGACCCCAGCCCATCCCCGAAACCATCCTCCCCTACCCTACCCCAGAGGGGCCTCGGCCTTACTCGGCAGGCGGCTGCTGCTATCTCCACGGGGCCCCAGCTTCTGCCCCGACAAGCTGAGCAGGGGCGGGCGGGCGGGGGCGGGGACCGAGGGGGCTCCGCCCACTGCAGCGGGGAGTCTGCGCAGTGAGCGCGCCGGTCCGGGCTCACCGCAGGGAGAAGGGGGGGCCCGGCCGCCCAGTACAGCCAACCTGACGGGGGTGGAGGGAGAGTACATGGCTGAGCGATTGGCTTTGCTACGGTCCACCCTAGAGCCCCCATGTGGGGTAGGGAGGCCACAGGTAAAGAGAAAAAAAGACCCCCACATCTTTTCTCGTCTGCAAACCTTGTGAATTTTTGTACCATGGGCATGTATTACCTGGTCAAAACTAAATACATAAATAAGATTAATGACTTTAAAAATTATAAAATGAAATGGAATGGTCAAGGCTGAATAACATGATTTAGGGACGTAGCGATGAAATCAGCTTAGAAGACAACCCACGCTAAGGGAGGGG